TGATGATGAATCCCACTGTACAAGGTAATGCCTCTACTGTGCCAGGGGCCATAGCTCCAGGAGCAGTTCTGGAACAATCCTTGTGTTAGAAGAGGGTTAGGGGCAGAAGACAACATGTAAGAAAACAGATGCAGCCCTCTAATCAAAGGCAGACACATATGGATAGCTATATTCTTATGAAAGTATATTTGGATAAATTTAATCCAAAATATTTTTCTTTAACCAAAGCAGTCTTTGCCAATAGTCCCTAACTTATGAGGGTTTGACTTAGGATTTTTGACTTCAGAATAGTGTGAAAACAATATGTATCCAGTGAAACTGTACTTTGAATTTGAATCTTTTTCTGGGATACTGATAATGTGAAATGAATCTCTTTTGAGATGCTGGGCAGCGGCAGCAAATTGAAGCTTCTAGTGGACTCCTGATCACCAGGGGAGACAATGGAGACTACAATGCACTGTGTTGCAAAGCTGTGATGTTTAGTAGGTTAGGTGGATTCAGTCCATTTTCAACTCATGATATTTGCTATTTACAATGGGCTTATTGAGATGTAGCCCCATTGAAAGCCAAGGAGCATCTATATATGATAAAATTAAGTAGCTGTTAAAGGTTTTGAAGTAAATCACTGTTACAGGGCTGTGGTTTGTCCAAGCTGAAAAACTATTCCTGATAAAATAGATGAGCTATAAAAGCAATTAAGAAGGTGCTCTCAGTTGCATAAAAATGCTGATTCCTGTGTTATACATATAATTTTAATAGATTATTTGTGGATGAAAAAGAGCATAAAATATTTGTAGAAACTTGTCTCTTTTTTCAGAAAGATCTGTGGCTCATTAGAATTTCTATTTTGTTTTGCTCCCTGACCTCTCAGTTGGTTTATAAGCTATTAAATCATGTTGAAATAATTTGGGGTGGAGAATTTGTTTTGCATAAGATCACCAAACGTGGTATTGAAATTCATTAAAGTTATTAGGCAATTTAATACAATGACATTGTTTTCTTTAGTTGCCAATAGCTCTGTGTAAAACAAAGCTCTTGCCTCCTATTCAGCATTTCAGAATACATCAGTGATGCATTATTAATGAATCTAGGATGTCCTTATGTTTAGACTTGGTTAAATTAGGAAAGGAAAGGGTAGTCATGTAGGCAAAATTTAGTAAAAGTGTATGTACAGTTAAATTGTGGATGGTTGGCCTAATGTGAAAGGTAGACTGAGTCTATGCTTGATTGTTTTTGCCTGCAATGTAGAAGATAATCAATCAAAAAAATTTTGTACAGAACATCCTAATTTTACTACCATTTTTGTTTAATATTTTCTGGAGAAAATAAAATTTCATTTGAGTTTTAAAGAGGTAAGTATAAGAAGTAATCATGATTTGGCTGAGACAGAAATTTCAGTTAAACTCAACCAAATGTTTAAATGGAATGTCTCCCTCATTTTATATAAAATGATATGAAAAACGCAATAATTAGAAAGAAGTTGCAACTAATTAGAATATGTTGTAGCACATAAATCACTGTATACACAGTCTTGTATTATAGTACTTCCAAGTGTTAACAGAGAGCAAGATGTATTTTAAAAAAGATCTCTTAGACATCTTCCTTGAGGGTCTAAGTTGGACTGAAGAGACATGAAGATAGGAGAGGCTCAACTGTGCCATCAAAATGTAGGTGATGAGTTCTGTGATTACAGAGTAGTAATTCTGGGCCTATTTCAGCCATTATCAAAACCTGTCATAAATCACATATTGACTCATCAACGAATTTGAAATGCAATTTGGAAGGAAGAAAGATGAATCAGAACTAAAAATTGATTCAGGAATTCTGCCTCACACAGAGAAACATCTGGGGTTGGAGTAGTGATGGCTTTTGTGAAACCTACCTGAATAAATATTAAATACAATTTGATATCTAGGCTTGTCCTAGAAATAGGAGAGAATTGTGGTTACTTTTCATTAATAATAAAGTATAGAAGGACTGGATGGGTCACGTTTTTCCTCATCTGACTGAGGAGGAAAAACAGCCAATATGGAAGAGGTACAAGCAATTAAGAAATGGTGGGCATGCCCAGTGCTATTGGGAATGAAGAGAGTATATGTACAGACACCATCCTACCACTCTGGAACAGGACAAGACCACTAAGATCCTTTTGAGCTGTGACCCTCCAATTCTTACAATGGAGTTTTATGGTTCTTAGGTGGTTCCTTAGAGATAGCCATAGGAATAAAGGAGTGGCCTAATGGGTGGGCTCTGGGCACTCAACACTCTCTGCAAACATAGACACACATATGATTAATAAATTTCAGCCCTACAAGAGATTTTGTATAAAAAAAGACTCCACTATATGTCATAAAAATGTTAGATCATTGTAGTTGTACTCCTCTCCCAATCCTTCACCCCTCCCCAGTATTATTATTGCAGTTATGGGAAGAAATAAAGATATACTTTGGCACATGTTTCAGGGGTCTCTATTACCTGCATTACCATGCAGGTAAGTAGATTCATCTATTCCGTTAGCATCTATGCAGCTCCAGCATGCCAGATTTGGTTTTTAAAGAGATACTAGGGAAGAATTCATGAACCCAGTTTGGGCTTCTTAAGGAGTGAGTTTCTCTCATTCTTAGCATCATGCCTGGTATGATGAATGCTCAAAAGCTACTATCATGCATTTTCAACAAATACTTAAAGAACACCTACTAAGTGCAGCTGAAGTGCTGTCATTATTCCAGAGTGGATAGAATAAGCCACATGGCCACCTGAAATTGGACACTGATTTATCTCTTGGTTGGAATGAAATGGTTTGATAGCTGTTCACACTTAACAACTTTTTAATATGCTTGGTATGCCTTCCAAATAGAATTATCAAGAAATGACAAAACTCCCTTTACCATCCACACTATAGAACTATATTTGAACATCTGAATAACAAAAGTTAATCATTTGCAATCTTATTTCAAGAGATAATTGTTGAGTTCCAAAAATGTGGTTGAGGGGGATAACTCTAAGAGAGACAAAGAACAGTCCTTTTGGGAACTGATGACTTGGGCTCTTCAGAGGCAGAGAAAAAGTATATCTTCCAGTTGGATCTCCTGTCCTTTGCCTGTTAGAGAGAGGGCATTGATACTCGCAGAGGGAACTATAGCTGGCTCAGTGCCAAAGCAGAGATGGGTTTGTGGCCACATCATAACATTGACCTTGGACTGACAAGCTCCAGAACATTTTGGTTTTTCCAGAATTCTAATTCTTTGATCCTCAAGATCAAAACCCTAAGGCACAGCTAAAGTTCTGGAGGTCCATGCTGGAGGGAGTTGACTTAACTTCCTGGTTTTTGAGAGTCTTTCCACTGCATATTGACCAAGAGGGGAATCAAGTTTCTCTTAATGTCTCTCTGACATAAACTTCTGTTTAACTGGGATGTTGGATGGTGATCAACTCATCTGAGCTTCCCTAGGATTTCCCAGTTTTAGCAATGAAAATTTTGTGTCCTGGAAATCCATTCATTCCTAGGCAAACTGGAACAAATAGCCATCTTAGAGACATAAAAGCCAAGCAAATAGACTAGGTATTCCAGTTACAGACTGTTTTGTGACAAATTATTACGACAGTTGGTGATTTAAAACAACTACTACTTAGTTTGCTCACCATTCTGCATTCTGAGTGTTTGTGTAGCCGCATTCAGCCAGGGAATTGGCTGGAGGCTGGGACATCTGGGTCTCTCCCCTTCTTCAAATCTCTCCCTTTCTTCAAGTAAAGTAACCTCTGCCTCTCCCTTCCCATGTAGCCTCTCCATAGATCCCCCCCCCCCCAAATAGCAGGGTAGCTGCATTTCCTATGTGGTGGCACAGGGTTCCCCAGAGTGCATAACTTGCCTGGCTTCTCAAGACTCAAGCCTGGAATTGGCATAGAGTCCCTTGTACCACATCTTATTGGTTAAAACTGGCTATAAGCATCTTTCTAGAATGAAGGAGACTACAGACTGCCCCATAGTGAATACTAGGGGGCAGTTCACTGGGAGTTACCAAAATAACAGTGTTCTTCAGAGAAACAGCAGGACACTCACTGGAATTCACTTTCCCTTGACCACCTCTGGTCTCTACTGGGCCCACCTGTGTTCCTCTCCTCACACTCAAAGCAAGAACTAAATAAACCTATAGTCTGAGGTATATTGGTCAAAGCCTTCAAGAGCTCTAAGTATGTTAGGACAAGTTTATCTCTATCTTTTTTTTTTTTTTTTTTGCTTTCAGCCAGGCCTACAGAGCACTGCAAAGTTAAAGTTGCCAGAGGGTTTGTAAGGAAGCAACAAGTTAGGGAGCCTGGGTTGGCCTGAGGCTATGAAGGACTTGATTATTCCTCTCACCTTCTTGGGGAGGGAGTGTGCCAGGTTTTCTGCACAGCACAGAAATTTCAGAGATGGGCAGGGCATAGCATCAGCCTGTAGGAGCTGACCCTTCTCAACATTGACGTCCCCACCCATCAAGTCTTAAAATTAAACAAGTGCCACTTATGGTCACTCCCCCTTTCCTGTCAACTGCAGTATTATGACCCTGCAGTGACTTGGTTGTTTTCCAGTCAGTCCCCCATCACTGGGTTGTAAGCCAACTGCGGGCAGAGAGGCATCCAGTCCTTCTCAAACTCCCAGGGTGGATGAGGTGGGTGCCTTCTGGCCAGGTCCTTGAGCTGCTTCAGGGCCCTGGGGATGCTGCGTGGCTTGCATCCCTTTCACCTCCTGACCTCCTCTTCCATCATCGTGATATCCTCTGGACATTTTGACTTCTTCCCTTTCTTTCTCTGGTCCCGCCCCTCCCCGCACGGTGTCACCACCAGTCCCGGTGCGTCCCGCCTCCGCACTGTGGCTTTAAGCGGGTCCCACCGCAGCACCCCTCCCTCATCCAGCTCTCGCTTGGCTGCTCCTCACCGCCTCTTCTGCTCCTCCTCCTCCCTGCTCCTCCTCCTCCCGCTCCTCCGCGCCGCCGCCAGCCGTGCTGCGCGCTCAGCTGCTCTCAGCTCCCGGGACCCGCAGCCATGGCCGACATCAAGACTGGCATCTTCGCCAAGAACGTCCAGAAGCGACTCAACCGCGCACAGGAAAAGGTCAGCAGAGGGCGGCGGGAGGCCAGGGCAGGTGTTGCGAGGTGGGGGCGAACTGTGGGTCACTGGCTGCGGCTGTGCGGGGCCAGATCCTCCGGATGCGGCGCGTTACGGAGCCGGGCTGGGGCCAGGCGACGCGGACACTCGACCCGGCAGCGGGAGCATCAGGGGTCCACAGACCCTGGTCCCAGAGGCACCAGGTTGTGCCTGGCCTCCGGAGCCCGCCCGGGGTCGCCGCTTCCCTTCTTTCTTGGGCCCGGCGCCGGTGACCAGCTGTCGCAGGTGCTGTGGCTCTCTGCACCCGAGAAGAGCACATCTCCCAGAGCTTTGCATCTTCCCGAGCTTTGTATCTCTCCAGGAGCTTGCATCTCCCTCAGCTAGCATCTCCTGGCGCCGGCTTCCAGCTCGCCCGCAGGCAGCTAGCTGGGACGCGGGCCGCAGATGGGGCGGGAGATTGCGGCAGCCTTCAGTCCTCTGGGGGGATTTCGTGGCTACTTGAGTGCGGTAGAAACGAACGACCTAGCAGAGAAGCTCCCCCCAAAATCTCTGGACCAATAAGACTGGATCGCAAACAACTAGCACCTTTGTACAGTGCTCTCCTGGGAACCCTGGAGTTCAAAACAGAACACACTTTTCCCCTTTTCATGTATATTTGTATTCTTTTTGACGCCAATGTCCTTCCCTGGAAGGTCAAAAATAAATACGACCTGAACCCAAACAGTTCTTCTCAGAGCATTTTTGCACAAACGGGATGTTTTATTGCATTAAAAATATGTATATAGATTATACGGGTTGGGATCCGTGTTTTTTTTGCAAACCCCCTTAGTAAATTGGCCATGGTAATTCATTTCTCCCTCCAGGATATACATACACAAGGGAAACCCAGGTACATAGCAAGCAAGTGCAGCCCCGAGCAGTTGGGGGAAGGGGGGTATGGGATGGATACTGGGCTTGCCTGGCTTTCCTGCTGACTGTTGTATCTGACAGCTCTAAGGTCTTCATTGGTGTCCTGAGCAAGGGACTTTTTTTTTTTTTTTTTAAATTGTAGCTTGAGCATTGTACTTGAAAATGAATACTGGCTAACAAACCTCATGATTGGGATCAAGTTGAATTGTATTCTCTTTCATGTGGTAGTGTTTTCTGTTCCTGGGATATAGGGTGTTTGGCATTTTCCTGGGAGTCAGATATGTGGTGTTACTCATTAGGACAGTGGATTTCTCTCTTCAGACCCACGCTCAGGCTGCTCCCCAGTTCTAGCCTTCCCCAAGGAGCTGAGCAGAAGGGGCACTGATCCCTCAGCCAGCACAGGCAGAGAGGCTTGGTGGCTGCTGCTAGTCCCTCCCTCTCTGCACACATGCACACTCTCAATGCAGTAAGAGGATTGTATTTCTTTTAATATCTACCCTAGCTCATCCTGAACCTGGGGATCCTCCTCCTGCTGCTCCCTCAGCGGCTGAATTAGCAAGACTTCCTGTCCCTTTCTAGTCCCTGGTTTCATGTTCAGAAAACAGCCACAGATCTATCTGCAGGTTTTGAGATTTGGATCAGATTTCTTCACCAGTTTTCAATACTTCATTTCATCTACTTGTAGTTATCTCTCCTACCCAAGTAATTACTTGACTCTTTGGTTTGAAGCTTTTCACTGAATCCACTTTCCATCTGTGAAGGAATTTAGTGATATGGTTTGCCTTTTCACATATTAAATTATTTCTTAATCTAGGTCACCAGCTGTTAATATGCCCAAAATAAATGAAAAGAAAATGTAATCTCTCTTACAGAGCATTCACGCCTGTATGAATTGTTGAAAACTCACTTTTTCCCTTTTTGTCATGATGAAGCTTGTGTGTATTAGATTGCAGTTGTGGATTGTGTTCATTCTCCTGTGAGAGTGAGGGTTTAACAAACCTCTTGTGGGGCCCAAAGTGTCCTTTTTTTTTTTTCTTTTCTGGGGATGGCTATTGATGAAATATGCCTGTTGCATCTAGGATGGGAGGGTTAAGACACCAAGAGGCTGTCTGCGCTGGGTAAATTCATGCCTTTTTGATCCTGTGTAATACTGGGACATGGTTAGCACAAAGGGAAAAGAGCAACCCAGCAAAGCTGAGATGGAAGTTGCTAGAGAATGGACATTACAGTGTGATGCTGTTGGGGCTTCATGAGACATCTCCCCTCTTTGCTTTTCCAGACTCTTCTCCAATGAACTCTTTGTTTCAGTAACCATATGACACATATGTTCTTGAGACCTTGTGCTTCTTAGTTTTATAGGCATATTTTCCTAAAAAGTCTACTTCTTTGACTTTCTTAGCACCTCTGCTCCACCTAACAGTTTGCATACATCCAAACGCACTACTGAAATTATCCGTAGAGGTGACTTATAGCTTTTTGTGAATTTAAAATACATTTTTTTTCTTATCAGAAGTCAAAAAAGGCTCATTGGAGAAAGAATGAAATATCATATAACCAGAAGAAATCACCCCAAAAAGAATCTCTTAATTCTACCTCCCAGAGACTTCACTATCATTTAATGTTTATCCCAGTAGATTTTACATGTGTGTATGTAAATATTGATACAACTAAAACATACATATACTATATGGGTTGATAACCTGTTTACTTCTTTAGTAATCATGAAGAGTCTTCTATAAATGCATATCTTTTACCTCAAAATTATAAATGACTGAATTGTATTGGAATGTATGGATTTTAATGAAAACCCTATATTTTTTGGGTATCAATTTTCTAATGTTTATGTATGTAAACGTAAGTCAGTTAGCAAACTCATAAGGAGAAGTTCTGCATACACCCATAATTTTCTCCTTAGATAAATTTCTAGAAGGAGAATTTTTGAGTCAAAGTTATGCTTATTTTTATTACAGCTTGATTGCCTTCCAGAAAGGTGGTACGAATTTCCATTCTCATCAGCAGTCCATGAGACATTTGCCAACTCTGGATAATAAAATTTAAAATAACTCTTTAGGTTTGTCATTAGAAAAAAACGAGTTCCTCATTCATTTCATTTACTATTTGGAAATTGAAACTTATTTTGCATTCCTATGTTTTTAATTCATGAATCATGTGTTCACATTTTGCCCCTATCAGCATCTCCATCTTGTTATTTGTAAGAGCAAAAAAATATATGAATCCTAAAGGTTGCAAACACATTTTCTTCCTTTCCTATTTTTCTAATGATTTTTTTTTCCTAAAGAGAATAGTTATGCTTTATGTATATCTGCTTAAATGTACTGATTGTTTTGTATGGTTCCTTGTTTGGTAGTTGCATAAAGTCAGGATCCTGCCACTTGGAAATGTCAACCCAACATGGCTTAGAGAAAAATGGAATTTAATTGTGAATAATAAGGTTAGCTAATAACTTATATTAGGTTCTTGTACATATAAATTTAAGTATGTTTTAATGTATTAATATATATCTGAATTAAACTGTGTACCTATCCTTACACATAAATAAATACATGCATATATATGTGCTTATTATATATATTAACTCATTCTTTGAGGTATATACTATTACTACTCACATTTTATAGATAAGGGAGAGATTAGTGACATGCTCAATGTCACAGTCAGTAGATAGCAAAGCTGGGATTTGGACTTAAGCAGTCCAGTGCTTCCCCATTCCACCACAGTGCCTCTTATAATCATGAAAAGGGCAGGGATAGATAAAGTTTTGACCTGTGTGAAATCAGGGACACAACCACAGATATTAGGGCTCAATTGTCTTCTCCCTAACTCCTCTCTGTGCTGTGCATTCACTCAGCCCCAGTTTTGGTCAAGTTCTCTCTTGATGGCAAGGTGGCTGATAGATGCTCCAGGCAAGAATATTCTTTCCTTCTTCATTTCCACAGAACTCTTTGGTATAACTCTTATTGGCCCAAACTGAACCTGTGCCTATTCCTGGAAGAAAAAAAGTCTCTAAGATCAAGGGCAAGGGCCAGCACCATGAATAAATTGGGCCTGAGTCACAAGCCACTGCTAAAATGGGATAGACAGATCCCCTGAACTCATAGAGGAAGAGGAAGGAAAATAAGTACAGAAGGAGGAGAGGATGCTTGGCTGGCAAAATAAAAGATGCCACTGAGGCATCTCTAAAAGGCTTTCTCCATATCATGTTTATCATGTTAGCAAATAATTTATTATTTGCTAAAGAATTTCTCATCAAATTGATATATATGCAGTTTTAGAAATCAAATATTAGTAAAAGACTTCTTATGTAAAACATAGTCCATTGTCCTTCTCTCTCAACCTCCAGTTTTGCTTCCCACACACAGCTCTTACTAACCACAAGGTTTCTTATATAACTTTATTGAACTAGCAATGCTTTAATATTTGATGAAGATAGCAAAGATTGAGTTCTCTTTTATCTATTTCCCCTTCCCATCATATATAATTACAAGCATTGATTGCTAAAGATTACATTTTTTTAAAAGTTTGAAGTATAATTTTTTGTTGAATAAAGTGTACAAATCTTGTGTTCAGCTGGTGAATTTCCATCTATATAGATATCTGCATAGGTACCACCCAGATTGACTTACAGAACATTTCTGTCATTCCAGATACCCATCAGTCCTCTTGCCTGTCCTATTCTTTGTCTTTTTATGTTTAAACATTTTAATTCCTTGCTGATATTCCCCTAGTAAGCACATTTTCCTGTACTTACTGGTGATTCTGATATCTTCTTTAGCAAAGGGTCTGTTGAAGTATTTGCTTATGTTTTTCATTTGCCTTTTGTGTTGATTTGTAGAGGTTCTCTGTATAATCAAGATGTGAGTCCTCACCAGATGTTCTGTATTTTTTCCCAGGCAGTGACTAAATTTTTTTTTTTTTTTTTACTTTCTTAGTGGTACCTACTGAATAATGGCAGTTTTAAATTTATGAAGTCCTACCTAAAAATTAAGTTCATGCCACATTTTTAAAATCAAATTTTTATGGCAGGGTGTTGCTATGTTGCTCAGGCTGGTCTTGAACTTGTGGGCTCAAGTAATCTT